AGTATGAATCTTTTTAAAAATTGTATTAACTTCACACGTATTCATTCTTTGTAGATATGAAAAGTTGAGTAAATTCCAACACCCAATGCAATTGATAAACAAAAAATTATAATCATTAGTCTTGATACTATAATACAATCATTTAATACATTGAATAGGCCTTTGGTTACTTAAGAAATAGCTATAATCATTTGTCTGGATCCAATACATATCTGAAAAGTTATGTCTTTAACTTCTAACCTATACACCTAAAGCATTTCAAATCACATTTTTTATTAAAGAGTTACACTAACTTCTCAGGTATACATTCTTTGGTAATCTAAAAAATTGCATTAACTGCTAATGTACACATCTAATGTATTTTGTTATCATTAGTCTTGAGCCTCTAAATTAATAAATACACACACCTATGCATTATTCTTCACATCCTATAACTATTATTATAAATAGGTGGTTGTTGTCAAACAAAAGGTGTCAAACTAACGTTGCTATACTTAGTTGAGTACAAGGATGTCTACAAAAGGTGTCCAAAATATTTTCGTTTGATGTTAATCAGTTTATATATTTTCAGTGCATATATTTTTAATTTTAGTATACCTTTTAATTTATTATTTCTTATAAAAAATGCAGTTGTAACTGCCGTACCACCCAAGATCACTGCAGTTTCTGCAATTGTTCCTGACAAGTTTGAGTTTCGTCTAAGGGTTCGTGTGATTCACTGTTGGACACTTCCTGAACGCTACAATTCTACAGATATAGGAAGTTTTCATATGATCTTGCTAGATGATAAGGTATACTTTCAAAGTTTAGCTATTACTTATTATCTGTGAAACAATATTATCGAACTTATGCTGTTTATATATTTTTGTTTGTTTAGTGCGGCAAAATTCAGGCCACCGTTAGAAAGAATTTGATTCCTACATTTAAGGAACAGATTGAAGTAGGTTCATCATATATGCTTGAAAATCTTATGGTGGGTAGCAACCACCCTTCCTACAAAGCTACGACACATAAGTACAAACTGAATTTCATGCAATCAACCAAAGTATTCAAAGTTAATGCTCCTGATATACCTCAATATCATTTTGATTTCATACCTTTCTCAGAAATTTTGAGTGCTACTAAAGAAGACAGGTTACTTGGTAAGTTTAACTCTTTGTATAATATAATAGAATTGATAATACTTACATCTTTATAATTATTTTAACATATACTATATTGCTTCTTTAAATGTGTGTATATATTAGATATTATTGGTCATATTGTGGAAACAAATGTTGTCAATGAAGTTGAGAAAAATGGAAAAAAGAGTAAGGTTATGAATCTGACTATTGAAGATTTAGAGTAAGTCAGACACCTTTATTTATTTTTATTTTGATGTCAATATTCTGTTTTATTCTAAATTGTTATACCTTGACACTTATAATGTAGGAGTAACAAAAATTCATTGCACATTGTGGGAGGACTTTGCTGAAATGATGCAAAAAATTATCGACAACCATAAATCTTCTGATCCAATAATCATGATACTTCAACTATGCAAGATGAAAAAGTTTTTTGGTAAGTACAAAATGTGTCTAAATATTGTAGACAACTTTGAATATTTAGAAAAATGATTTTTGATATGTACATTTTTCAGGTGCTATGGGAGTCTCTAATGCTTACTATGGAACTAAAATGATGTTGAATGAAGATTTGATAGACACTGCTAATTATATATCTAAGTTAGTTTATAAAGTCAACAATTTTTTTTAATTTATAATATTATTCATCTCTTTAAATAATATTAAACTATATGATCTATAACATGTTTAGGATGAATGGTACTGAGATAGAAATCACACAAGGAGTTAGTCAAATGTCTGCTCCAACAATTGTCCCTCTAGCAGATGACTTGCTCCAAACACAAAAAATGTCAATTGAGAACTTGATAGAATCCACTGAGGTAATTTTATTTTGTTTTTTTTATTATTATTTGCATTATATAACCCGATGATTAATTTTATATCATGTGATAGTTTTGATGGTTATATACATGTTCCAAAACTTTACTGATTTATATTTTATGGTTTCCTGTGGTGAACCATGGTAGAAATGTGTTGGTACTGTTCTAGCAAGAACATGTGAACTTGAGACAGATCTTGGATGGTATTATCAAGCTTGCACAAAGTGTGCATCAAAAGTCACTACTAGAACTGGGGTTATGTACTGTGAGAAATGCCAGCTACCAAGGACCGCTATTCCTAGGCAAGTAATTTAGTTATTACAGTCATAAAAATTCACTTGGATGCACTTTGCTTAATTTACATCCTTGAATTAATTTTGATTAAATTTTCAGGTTCAAGGTTAATGTTCAAGTAATTGATAATTCTGGATCAACAACTTTTACTCTCTTTGATAGGGTGGTTTCTCAAGCTTTGGGAAGAAATGTACAAGATCTGTTGGATAACATGAATCATGTAATATAATTGGTGGATTTAGTGTTACGGTACCAAAATTAACGTATTTAATAATTTGTTAACATAATTTATTTAGATATTATTTGTTTTGTTATAGGATTTAGCTTATCCACCGGAGCTTGATGTATTTGTGGACAAACGAATGTTGTTTAAGGTAGAAGTTACTGATGCCAATTTGTTTCGTAATTGGCGCAATTATACTGTGAAGAAGTTGACTGAAGACGGGGAAATAATCAATCAGTTTTTAACATTGCATGGGATAAATGTATGAAAATTGACATATATTGATATTCCTTATTTTTTATTGATAATTTAAAAAATCCCCACTCTCTCAAACATATATAACAGTTGAATGATGCGGATATAGATGTTGAATGTGTTCAGATAGGAAGTGAAGTTGTTGATAATAATGTTATGGTATATAAGTTGTTTTTTAATTTTTAATTTTTTCATCACGTTGAGATGATTTTACAATTTGTGTACTATACCATTTTTATGGTTATTGAATTATATATGTAGGAGGCAATTGAAGGCGGTGATTCAAACAAAGAGGAATTGACTACTACAGATTCTGGAAATACACATACAAGCAAGACATTGGGGAAGAGGTTGTCTGATAGTCTCGAATCAATTGCTGTGAATGATATCAACGGTGGTGCTTCATCGGTTGTCAAAGATTCTAAATGTGTAAAGCTTGAAAAATCTGATTGAGTGGCTTGCGTGTTGAAGAATATTCGTTGTATCTTGCAGTTATTTTCTTTTTAATTTATCAGTTGTTGAACCAAGTTAGTGCCAAATATGGTATTTGTTTTAATGTTTTGATTTATTTTAGGAATATGAGAACAATGTTTGTGCTAAACTTATATGTTTAAATAGAAACATGGTTGGAGCCGTAAAAAACACACGGATAAATACGCATATTTGACACACATAGTCTAAATGTTTAAAGATAAAATGATTAAGTAATATTAATTGATATGACTAAATTGATAAAATTATATCTATTTTATTTGGGTTTTCCTATCTAAAACTTACTCCCTGTGTGAGAAAAATATCAATTTTTTGTCCCTACTTATAAGAGAAAAATCTAAATATTTAAATTTTTTAATATAATAAATAATATAATAATAATATCTATAATTTTAATTAGTTAAAGATTAAACTTAACTTAACAATATTATTACTAAAAAAACATAAAATAATTTGTTTTAAACCTTATACTTATTTAATAAAAGTATTTAGCTTTATATATTTTTAGTTGGTAACCGTTGGTTATATCGGTTTTGCTGGTTTTTAGGCAGTTTCTTGATCATCGAGGCGGTTTAAATATAACGTGGTTTATCATCTTGACCAGTTTTAATTTCCTAGATCTAAAATGGATTATAATTATGATTTACAACAAATATATTACTATGAAAAAACAAAAAATTATAATCATTAGTCTTGATACTATAATACAATCACTTAATGCATTGAATAGACCTATGTTTACTTAAGAAATAGCTATAATCATTTTGTCTCTATCCAATACATTCATGCATTTGAATTCTCAGAATTTGAAAAGATTGAGTTTCCATCTTGAGGACGAGCAATGCGTTATTTTTCCAGATGATGCTCCAATTGAAGAGGTAGTCAATAAACCATATATAGACTCCACCAAATTTTTGGCATGGATGGATGCTAACAAAAAATATCCAGAGGCAAGAAACCTTACATACAGTGAGTTTCCTACAAAGTTTGTATGGAAAGGAAAGGAGCATCGATGGACTCCACGTCAAAGGGGCTTTTCAGTTGGAAGACTGCATTATACAACACCTGGATCTGGACAATTATTCTATTTGAGAACTTTGTTGAATTATGTGAAGGGTCCTACATCTTATGATGATATCAAAACAATTAATAATATAAAGCATAATACTTTCAAGGATGCTTGCTTTGCCTTAGGATTGCTGGACGATGACAAAGAGTTTGTAGATGCAATTATGGAGGCGAGTCATTGGGGTACCGAGAGCTTTTTACGCAGTTTATTTGCCACTCTGTTAGTGTCAAATCAAATAAGTCGACCAGATTTTGTTTGGAATAAGACATGGGAGTTTTTGTCTGATGATATCTTGCACCGACAAAGACAGTTATTGTGTTTTCATGGTATTTTTTCTATCTTTTTATTTTTTATTTTGATGCATGGTAGTTTGTTTTCTCTATGTGTAAATAACGTATCACATTTAGGATACTTTTGTTTCATAGTATACTTTTTAACGTTTTTTTTATATTATATTAAGTGTAGTTTTTTATATTATATTAAGTGTAGATTTTTCTATAACCTTCTGTAGTATACTTTTGTTCCATAGTATAACATTTAGGATATTAAGTGTTTTTTTAACGTTTTATATTATATATTCATAATAGTTATTTTTATTAAGTGTATATTATATTAAATTTGCAGATTTGGTCTTGACTGTCGATCAATTAAAGAGTTATGCTTTGGCTGAAATTGAGATTTTATTGCAAAGTAATAATAAAAGTTTGGAAGATTATCCTGAGATGCCTCAACCAGATAGAGCATTGTTACCCGAGAGACAAAATAGATTGATTTATGATGAGTTGAATTATGACAGGCGGTCACTGTTAGAAGAGCATCGTAATTTGATGTCAACAATGACAAATGAACAAATGAGAATATATGAAAGGATCATGAAAAGGGTTGATGAAAATAGATCGGGACTTTTTTTTCTATATGGTTATGGAGGAACGGGTAAAACTTACATTTGGAGAGCAATGTCTGCAGCAATAAGATCAAGGGGTGATATTGTTCTAACCGTCGCATCGAGTGGGATAACTTCTTTGCTAATTCCGGGTGGAAGAACTGCACACTCAAGATTTGCCATCCCTATAGAAGTGCATGAATGCTCGACGTGTAATATTGCTCCAAAAGACCCTTTAGCTGAGTTAATACGTCGTGCAAAGTTAATAATATGGGATGAAGCCCCGATGATGCACAAGCATTATTTTGAAGCTGTTGATCGTACTTTTCAAGATATAATGCAAAATAAAAATATCCCATTTGGCGGAAAAGTAGTTGTTTTGGGTGGAGATTTTCGTCAGATCCTTCCTGTTATCCCTAAAGGAACAAGACATGAAGTTGTGCATTCAACTATAAATTCTTCTCATCTTTGGAGTTATTGTGAAGTGCTTACACTGACCACTAATATGAGGCTTATGACTGGAGGTATAGATGCTGACATTGAAGAGAGAAAGAGTTTTTCGGAATGGATATTGGGAATCGGCGATGGAAGTATTGGAGACGCTAATGACGTAGATATCATAGTGCAGATACCACATGATTTGTTGATTCCTAGCTTTGGAGATCCACTTTCAGCTATTGTGGAAAACACGTATCCAAATCTTTTACACAACTTGAATGATTCGTCTTTTTTTCAAGAGAGGGCAATATTAGCTCCTAAAAATACCATTGTTGATGCCCTCAATGATTATATGTTGGATTTAATACCTGCAGAAGAAAAAACTTATTTGAGTTATGATTCTCCATGTAATGCAAGGTCAGACATTAACATGTCAGATGATGTGCATACTCCTGAATTTCTAAACACCATTGTATCTTCAGGACTACCAAATCACAAGTTGAAATTAAAAGTTGGAGTCCCGGTAATGTTGTTGAGAAATATTGATCAGTCGTTGGGATTGTGCAATGGCACCCGATTGATAATTACAAAAATGGGAAGATATGTCCTTGAAGGTAAGATTATATCAGGTAACAATGTTGGTCAGAAGGTGTTTATTCCAAGGTTATCACTGACTCCAACCGATAAAAGAATCCCTTTCAAATTTCAACGTCGGCAATTTCCATTGACGGTATCATTTGCTATGACAATCAACAAGAGTCAAGGACAGTCACTTAAATATGTAGGAGTATATCTTCCCCAGTCAATTTTTTCTCATGGGCAATTATATGTTGCATTGTCAAGAGTTACTTCAAAAAAAGGCTTAAAGATACTGATAACGAACGACGAAGGTGAAGATACAAATGTAACCGAAAATGTCGTTTACAAAGAAGTCTTTCATAATGTTCGGTAGTTAATTGTTTATTTATTTCTCGATATGTATGTCTGATCATTTATGATATTTAAATTTTTCTAATTTAAGAGTTATTTAATATTTATTTATGTTTCAAAATTTATTTAATTTTATTTTTGATATTAAAAGCTATTTTAATGTCAATTCTTTCAACAGTTTAATTATAGAAATTATATTGTATCTTATTATGCGAATAAAGAATAAAATATTATATATAACATACTAAAAAATTCCGTGCATCGCACGGGTCAAAGACTAGTTGATTAACTAACATACTAAACATGTAAATTTTGTCACTTTGTATTCATCGGGGCTATTAGTGGTCCCGTCCCACAAAAGAAAACCGTGAAACAAGCCAAACCAATTCTTGCCTTGCCATAGTACCTGCATTCTGAGTGTTCCCATGTTCTTAGCCTTCTTTAACAGAAAGCAATGATGTGGCTATTCAAGAATGATGAATTTGCCTCTTTAATTGTTGCGGTAAGTATTAGAAACTTATCATCGGGGGCTTTTTCAAATAAAAGGGACTTGGTTTTTTCTACTTTCATTTGCAGATCCTCTAGCTAGGTCAAGAAATTGAGCAAGAAATGGAGATTTGTTCTTGGCATCCGATGAATATTTCATGAGACATAATAATTAAAGATGCAGTAGATTTTGGCACTACAGTAATCCATTATACTATATGCCATGACCTGCTATATCCAATAAACATCAAGGGTCCACATTTTGATCAATAAAGGACTAATAATATGCTGAAATATGTCATTTCTAGAGATTATGATTGAATTTTTATATTCTAATCGATAAATACATTATTACATAACTTATAAAAAAATATGTTTATTCATAACATTCAGTTGAAGAGGCTGTAGCCTAGCCATCTCCTTCGTGATAGAAGGACAATGTAGGTCTGTCACGGGAAAAGTTTCAGTAACTTTACTGTTACCGTAACTTTGTAACTAACTTTAGAAAAAAATGAGTGATTAAAATAGAATATTCAGAGAGAAAATCTAATCTAGTGAAAGATAGAGAGAAAGTTATGAAAGTTACAAAATTCCACAGTCACCCAAACCCTCTCCGCCTGTCACTCTGCTTGACGTGTAGCACGAATGCATTCGAAAAATATGGACATTTATGCATAAACTCTTTGAACTATTTTGTTCAGAGGTTTCTTTGATTGGCTAGTAGTTACCAATGGCTATTACTAATATTGAACTTGTAACCTAAAGTATTAGATATCCATAGACATGGATATATGAACACCGATAATTTGAAAAAATAGAAGTAACTGAACGTAATCACATGCATTGGTCTCATGTTAGTAGTGTCAGGTGCCAAAAACATCTTCAATATAAAATATCAGTGCTGCATAAGCTCATAACCATTTGAAAAAGCTCGTTTACATGAAAATGGTCATTTGAAAATGCTCCTAAAATTGCTAAGATCACAACATAGGAGGAAAGAAACAGAACATTATAAAACACTCGATATAATAGCTGACAGTGCAATAATAGCTTTACAATAAACAATATCTACAAACAAAATAAAGAAAAAAACCAGAACAACATAACAAACCAACCAGGAAGATCTGCGCAAGCAATTCAATACCAGCAACCATCCTGAAAACTATAACTAAGCAAAACTTTCCTCTCATATATGTAGGAAATTGGAGTGAAGAGTTATATGAGATATGAAATCACCTCTCAAGGTAGCACCAGTTTCAGATGGAGAAGGGGTTTCACATATGAATTTCAAGTATTAGGAAGACCTACATCTGATAGATCCCAATTATCCTCTTCTTCACCATCATCGACCTTTTCCTTATTTGAAGAATCAGGTACAGGAGTTCTAAAATATCGCCTCCTGAAATCCATGATTGCAAACTAATAACGGACAATGCTTGCCAAGAAATAAACAAATATTCTTTTAACACAAAATATCATTTTCATGTCTGGTTAAGTTAGCTCAGATGATAGTTGTACCGAGACATCAAATGCATGGGACTGGACGTGACGTGACACTCAGTTATTCAAAAATTCAAAAAGAAATTATTGCATTAGTATAACCAAATCAATCACAAATAACACAAATAACATAAATGTATAATTTCAAAAACAACACTTCTGCAATTATAGTTCTAAATTGAGAATCTGGAAAGAATACATACCGTCTACGGTTTCTTTTGGCAGCTTCTCGGCGTTTCCTTTTGGCCTTATCAATTGGATTCTCGAAGAATCTTCTGCGTCTGCACTCCTGTAAAATTCCAGCCTTACGAACCTCTTTTCTGAAACGACTGGTGAATATATCACCGGGTTCGTCTTCTTCGACTAGGATTTGCACGTTGTATTTGGACGATTTGACGGGAAGTAGAGTTGGTGGATTTGAATGGGAGAGTTTAGGGTACGCGATGGGTGAAAATGAAACGCGATGAATGTTATTGTTATTGTCGCTTCTGGTTGAATTTGAAGATGGTAGTGGTGAGAGTGAGAGTGTTGTAGGGACATGAGACGAAACGGCCATTTTACGGTTTGTTTGTATACCCTGATTGATTGATCTGTGTGGGACTGGGAGGGAATGTTACGCGGTAGGGTCGGTGTCTTTATCTCTGTGATTTTGTACTGGTTTTTGGTTGTGGGCCTTCAATGGGCTTCTAATGCAAGTAACCTTTGATTGTTTTTTTTTAAATATATTTTTTTAAAATAATACTGTATGGGAATTGCTTCTCTCAACCTAAATGGTTGAGAATTATCTTATAAAAATCTGAAAATGCCATCGAGAATTTGAAATTGCAATTTTGAACACACTTATTTTACACTAAATTGTATTCTAAGTGAGATTCAACTCATTTTTCCTTAAAATTTAGTCTAAAAATACGCTTATGTATTTATCATATATGCATCACATACTTAATTGAGATACATTTATTTTGAGATAAATTGCTTTGGAGATGCATCTCCATAACAATCCTAAATAGAATACGAAGACGCACTTTTATACTCATCCTAGACAATAAATTTTGACTTTGTTTTAGAGATACACATATACCTTTTGCTACACCAAAACAACACATATCTCAAGAGGCTCATTATTGATTGCGACTTTGTAGATCTATCAGGTGTAGTGACTACAAGTACACAGTCTATCGTATAGTTTTAAAAGATATCGAACTCACAAGAACTGATGGTCAAAACTACTGTTATCTTAGAGTCACTATGTAAAGCTAAGGCTAATTAATAAACTTGGGTGTTTGAGTTTAATGAGGAATTAACTAAAATCTAATAATTAATAATCGGGACACAGGTTATGTATTTCGTCAACTTAAGGGATTCAGTAAGTCATTGACATTTGTTTTTAATATTAAAACATCATTTCGGTGAAAACTATTTGTTTAAAGACCCTCGTCTCAAACTTCTGTTCTATTGAATCAGATCATATTAGTTAAGCTCGAAATGAGCGCTTCCGCTGTTTCATTTAAAACTCAAAAGTATTTTTTGAAAAAAAATAAAGTCCAATTAACTTTAAAGCGCTTTCGCTATTTTTAAAATTAATGTTTTAATAACCATTATCCGGGTAAAACCTCAAACTTCCGCTCTGTTGATTTTAACCTTGGACTGTCTCTTACTTCCATATAAAAACAATTAAATATTCAAATTGAAAATTAAAACCAGAAAAGTGTTTTTGTAAAAAATAATAATGTCAGTTAATTACCGAATCCTTTCGGTTAAGTTTTACATACCAGTATCAGAGAATCTAGTCAGACATAAATTTACCGTAGAACAACATAAAACTAAAACGTAAATTCAACAATGCATGCATGATAAGAAATAAATAAATTATACTTATTAAAATAGGAACCTGAAAATGAATAATAGAGCGATTAATTTCGAGTAATGCGTATCCTCCATAAGCCGATAGGATTGACTTGTAGCAAAAATATCTCGAATTAAATTAAAGTAATCCTAAGCAAATTCTGTAAGTTTGGAAACAAAACTAGTGTTGCAGTATTTCTCCGATGCGGAAAAAATACTGCTTTGATGGTGGATTTTTTTATTGCCTAAGTAGTTCTACGAAATCTGAAAAATTAATGCTAAAAATCTAAACTGAAAAATATCAAAACAGAATACAAAAATAATGCTGGGCAGAAAAAATGAAATTGAAAATAAAATTGTGTAACAATTATTTAGGGTGCGAGAGGGAGAGAGTGAATTTTTGGTAACTGCTTCAATATATAGAGTCCATTAGTTGAGGAAAAGTAGGAATTCAACATGGAGAAGAATCCGTGAACATGCGTGTTGAGTCCGTCAAATGGAGAGAAAATCGTAACTGATATATGGATTGTGGCGAGCGTGATATGTGTTGTGATGTGGGGCACAAAACTCTTATTTGTCCCGGTCGTAATATGAAACGTGCCGAGGGGCACAAAACTCAATTTGTCCCGGTCGTAACATCCTTTTGGCGGGCGGCACACCCCCTAGTGCAGGAAGTGCTAAAATGCTTCAAAAAGGCCATTTGAACTTCATTTTTCTATTGTTTTTCTTTCTTTTCTCATTTATGTCTTGCAAAAGCCAAGTACCTAAAATATGTTCCAAATACTACAAAAAAAAATGACATAATAAACGAAGAATCGGAAATTTAATCTATATAAATCGGGCGGAAAATGTATATCTTTTCGTGTTATCAATTATCACGGTGATGCTATATGTTTTCATAATAATCAATATCTCAAACCCATGCACATGTTGATGCAATAATGAGTATTTCTATGAAAGTGAAGAACGGTGGAACTGATATTGACAGAATAGTCTTCTCTAATATCCTTGTTTTAAACTACATAAAAGACACCGTAATAAGAACATGGTAGTTTCAGGAATATATTATATGCCTTACATACCATGCTGATAGCTCTAACTGTCCAACATTTAGTAACATTCTTCATTCACATTTTCAAGCGCAGAAACAACCAATCGCTTATTACACTGAAGCAAATATATTTAGATTATTGTAGGAATTCTTAAAATAAAAAATACTTTCAACTCTAAAACTACTATTCTCTTTGTCCTCTCCCCTGTGTTTTTTGCCTTTCAATATTTCTTAAACGAACATGTTATTAGGTTTTTGAGAAGGAAAGATATTTTCCTTAATTCTTTTACATGGGTGATCATTAGGATTTAACTAAGGTTTATATCAAGTTTATTTATGCTCCTTTGAAGGAGGATTGGGAACCGGCTATTTCATTTTCTTCACGTAGATGCTATTGTGTTGGATATAATGGGACAGACAGACATCGATTGTAGATAGGGGAAAAATAGTTTGCAAAGTTCTGTTAATCTTCTATACTTATTACCATTTTTTATCAATTATGCAGTGATACTATTTCTTGCTTTTACATCCAATATCTTCTTCACACCTCAAAGCCAACCACACACAACCAAAACCAAAAACTCGAGTTATACCTCCTTGTTTCCTCTACATTTCCAAACCGCCACTCCGCCGTTTAGCACCACCACCACCGTCTTCGTTTTCGTTTCAACATAGTTAAAAGTGGATTGCATCTTATCGTAATTGCAACATTACTTGAGTAGAAGAATAATTCAGATAAACAGAGTTATAGATCTCTCAAATTCTCTCTATCTAATATGCACTCATTGTTCAGATATCTAATATCATGCAATTCCAAAAAGTGCATAATCTTATGCACTCCTTCTTCTTGAATCAAACAGTGATGGACATTTTTTTAGCATTAATAGGGAGTTCGAATAAATTACCACTGATGATTGTAGTAATTGATGTGATGATATATGCATATCGGATTAAGGAGTTGAGGTGGTAGATGGAGAAAAAAAAAGAGTTTTAGGGCTTTACAGCTTCTTGTGGTAGACGGAAATGTTGTGACTGAGCATGGTTAATGAAAAGCATGGAAAATGGTGTATTAATAAATTCCATATCGATTTTAAAGCAAAGACCAATAATGTTAGGGATGTCAGTTTGGACCTATTAATGGGGATCCCCGCGGGGAACGTCCCGTTCGGAGCCCCAAAGATGGGGAATTTTCCCCCGTGGGGGCGGGGATGGGGAGAAAAACTCCCCCGAGAGCATTTCGGGGACGGGGACGGGGAATACACCCCCGCCCCGCGGGGACCCCGCCCCGCCTATTATTTTAATATAGTTAATTTAATATATATATTTTAGATTAGGTTTTTTAGTCATTTCCTTTTAGTTGTTTAGGCATATTGTTACTTTAAAAAGTATTATAGTTCATTTTGTTGAATTTTATAGCATTTTATAGAAATTTATAAAAAAAAATTATTATTTTGTGTTCCATTAGTATTTTTAATAAAAAATAATAAATGTCAAATACTAGTATTTTTTAATAACATAATAAATATGTGAATTCTTTGTGCTTTTTATTTTTATAGAAAATATAAACATTTAAAAAAATAAAATATTAATGAATAAATGTAGGATCTATGGGGATCCCCGCGGGGAACAGGGATCCGCGGGGAACGGGGATGGGGATAGAAATTCCCCCGTGACGGAGATCGGGGACAGGGACGGGGAATGAATTTGATGGCGGGGAAAAAGATGGGGAAGTGTCCTCCCGACCCCGCCCCGCCCCATTGACATCCCTAAATAATGTATACAATGCAAATACACATAAGGTTATTTGACTAGGAAACAGGCTGAGAGCAATGGGCTGAAATGGAAGTAGTATAGGGTCTTAAAGGCCCAAATAATATTTTAATAATAAATTTGTAAATAAGTTTTCATAAAAAAAAATCAAAATAATTTAAGAAAATGTAAAAATAAAAAATAAAAACGTAGAAAATAAAAATAATAAATAAATAAAATAATGAACTTCACATGATTTAGAAAAATTAAATCAAAAATCAAATTAAAATCCAACTGAACTGTTAAGTTATCATAAAATGGAATGGCTTAGAAAAATTAAAATCCAATTGGACTGTCAAGTCATCCTAAAATGGAATCTAAGCTCAATAAAGGCTATAGCGAAAGAATATGAAAATTGTAAGGAGGGTTTTAAAAAAACTTTATTAGGGGTTAAAAGTAAAACCCCATAACATTACAGGGGGTTTGTATATTTAACCCTAATAAATTTTATATAAGTTAAACCATACACTTATCAAATAAGATGAAATCCCATATATAATTGAATAAATTTGAAATCCATAAAAAAAATCTAAGGAAATTACAAATCATAATAGTGCTCCCAATAGAAATAATATATGATTACGTATGTCAGACCCCCTATTCCTACGCTGCCTATTGTACTGCAGTGTCGGTCGTGCCTTAGTAAGAATGACATCTATAATGTCCATTTTCTCAGATTCTTCTGAAAAGGCTCCTCAGTCTATACCCATCTAGGCAAGATCCACAATACATCGACATCTAGACAACACATCAGTAACATGATTTATCCAGTATGCTCCTACTTAAATATCTCTTAATGAGCTGAACTAGGTGGATCCCTCGAAGCATCCAACATCATATAAGGATGTGAC